ATGCTTTTCAGATTTAGATGCCACTGCTTTCTCATGTTATATAGTGCACTAGTTCCTCATGCTTTGCAGATGCAGGATTCCACTGGTTCTTATTTCTTTTGCAGATGTAGATGCCATTGGCTCTTCACGTTCTGAAGATGTAGATGTCACTGGTTCTTCACGTTCTTCAGATGTTGATGCCACTGGTTCTTCATGTTGTGCAGAAGTAGATGCCACTGGTTCTTCATGTTTTGCAGATGTAGATGCCACGGGTGCTTCATGCCTTGCAGATGTAGATGCCTCTGGTTCTTCACATCCTGCAGATGTAGATGCCACTCGTTCCTCACGTTCTGCAGATGTAGATGCCACTAGTTCTTCACGTTCGGCAGATGTCAATGGTTCTTCATAGTCTGTAGATGTCAATGGTTCTTCATGCTTTTCAGATGTAGATGCCACTGGTTCTTCATGTTCTTCAGATGTAGATGTCTCTGGTTTTTCACGCCCTGCAGATGTAGATGCCACTCGTTCCTCACGTTCTGCAAACGTAGATGCCACTGGTTCTTCATGCTTTGCAGATGTAGATGCTACTGCTTCTTCATGTTCTGCAGATGTAGATGCCACTTGATCTTCATGTTCTTCAGATGTAGATGCCACTGGTTCTTCACGCTCTGCAGATGTAGATGCCACTGATTTTTCATATTATACAGATGTAGATGACACTGGTTCTTCATGTTCTGCAGATGTAGATTCCACTAGTTCTTTACGTTCTTCAGATGTAGATGCTACTGGTTCTTTATGTTGTGCAGAAGTAGATGTCACTGGTTTTTCATGTTTTGCAGATGTAGATGCCACTGGTTCTTCATGCTTTGCAAATGTAGATGAGACTGGTTTTTCATGTTCTGCAGATGTAGGTGCCACTGGTTCGTTACGTTCTGAAGATGTAGATGACACTAGTTCTTCACGTTCGGCAGATGTCAACGGTTCTTCATAATCTGCAGATGTAGATGTCAATGCTTCTTCATGCTTTTCAGATGTTAGATGCCACTGGTTCTTCATGTTCTTCAGATGTAGATGCCTCTGGTTCTTCACGCCCTGCAGATGTAGATGCCACTCGTTCCTCACGTTCTGCAGATGTAGATGCCACTGGTTCTTCACGTTCTGCAAACGTAGATGCCACCTTGTTCTTTATGTTCAGCAGATGTAGATGCCACTGGTTCTTCCCGTTCTGCATATGTAGGTGCCACTAGTTCTTCACGTTCTGCAAACAAACGTAGATTCCACTAGTTCTTCACGTTCTGCAGATGTAGATGCCACTGCTTCTTCATACTTTGCAGATGTAGATGCTACTGTTTCTTCATGTTCTGCAGATGCCACTGGTTCTTCATGCTTTGCAGATGTAAATATCACTGGTTTTTCGTTATTTACAGATTTAGATGCCACTGGTTCTCCATATTCTGCAGATGTCAACGGTTCTTCATGTTCCACACATGTATATTCCACTGGTTTTTCATTATTTGCAGATTTAGATGCCACTCGTTCCTCACGTTCTGCAGATGTAGATGCCACTGGATTATCACGCTTTTCAGATGTAGATGCCACTGCTTCTTCATGTTTTGCAGATGTAGATGCCACAAGTTCTTCATGCTTTGCAGATGTAGATGCAACTGGTTCTTCGTGTTCTGCAGACGTCAATGCCACCTGGTTCTTCATTTTCTGCAGATGTAGATGCCACTGGTTATTCACATTCTGTAAATGCAGATGTCACGTTTTGCAGGTGTAGATGCCACTGGTTCTTCAAAGTTCTGCAGATGTAGATGCCACTGGTTCTTCACGTTCTGCAGACGTAGATGCTACTGGTTCTTCATTTTCTGCAGATGCCACTGGTTCGTCACGTTCTGCAGATGTAGATGCCACTCGTTCCTCACGTTCTGCAGATGTAGATGCCACTGGTTCTTCACGTTCTGCAAACGTAGATGCCACCTTGTTCTTTATGTTCAGCAGATGTAGATGCCACTGGTTCTTCCCGTTCTGCATATGTAGGTGCCACTAGTTCTTCACGTTCTGCAAACAAACGTAAATTCCACTAGTTCTTCACGTTCTGCAGATGTAGATGCCACTGCTTCTTCATACTTTGCAGATGTAGATGCTACTGTTTCTTCATGTTCTGCAGATGCCACTGGTTCTTCATGCTTTGCAGATGTAAATATCACTGGTTTTTCGTTATTTACAGATTTAGATGCCACTGGTTCTCCATATTCTGCAGATGTCAACGGTTCTTCATGTTCCACACATGTATATTCCACTGGTTTTTCATTATTTGCAGATTTAGATGCCACTCGTTCCTCACGTTCTGCAGATGTAGATGCCACTGGATTATCACGCTTTTCAGATGTAGATGCCACTGCTTCTTCATGTTTTGCAGATGTAGATGCCACAAGTTCTTCATGCTTTGCAGATGTAGATGCAACTGGTTCTTCGTGTTCTGCAGACGTCGATGCCACCTGGTTCTTCATTTTCTGCAGATGTAGATGTCACTGGTTATTCACATTCTGTAAATGCAGATGTCACGTTTTGCAGATGTAGATGCCACTGGTTCTTCAAAGTTCTGCAGATGTAGATGCCACTGGTTCTTCACGTTCTGCAGACGTAGATGCTACTGGTTCTTCATTTTCTGCAGATGCCACTGGTTCGTCACGTTCTGCAGATGCAGATGTCACTGGTTCTTCACGTTCTGCAGATGTAGATGCCACTGGTTCTTCATGCTTTGTAGATGTTGATGCCACTGGTTATTCATGTTCTGCAGACGTAGATGCCACAGTGGCATCTTCATGTTCTGCAGACGTATTTGCCACCACAGCCATCTATTGTGCGGCAGTTAAACTTACAACTCTCGGTGCGAACAGGCAACTGGGTATACGGACTTGTTTGTTAGTATCTCTGAAAGTTCATAAGTCGAATGTTCGGAAGGAGAGGAGTGCCTGTACTGCACATGTCCACCAGATGATGGCAGGCATAGCCATGTCTTGAATACCTTGCAGTTGGTCTTCATTCGGGCGTTTCTAGAGGGATTTCTACCGTATCAATCAAGGGGGTTCAATACTATATACGGTTTGTGTACGGTGGGAAATAAATTCTGCACCCACACATTCTCTTAATTCTCTAGCAGCAGCTTCGCTCCTTTGCCTCCATTCCTAAACAGTGAGTTCGTTCTTCTTCCTCCATTGTATAGCAGCTACACTCCTCTACCTCTCACCACTACCGCCTCTAACCACCACCACTACCGCCTCTCAGCACCATAACATCTCACCACCACCTCCTCTCACCACCACCTCTTACTACCACCACAGCCTCTCACCACCACCACCACTGCCTCAGCGCCGCCACCGTTCACCGCCGCCAAGGCCTCTTACCACCCGCTTCTCACCACCACCAACCTCTGACCATCTCCAACCTCACCGGTATCCTCTCCCTACCACCAACACCACTTCCTCTCAGCCTCACCTGCACATCCATCAGCCACTCACAAATTAGAGGACCCCCACCCCGAGTCGCTGCGGAGTGGAGATTCCATAAAGCGTGTCTCGTGACATTCCTAAAGCGCGTGTCTCGCGACATTCATAAAAAAACATGTCTCGTGTCGTTCCTGTGAGTAGAGTGTGGCTCTGGTGGGCAGCTGAGCGAGTAGTTGGGACAGTGATGGTGGATGGTGTTGGTGAGGGTGGATGATGAATGGTTGTGGAGGATGGATGGTGATGCAGAGAGGATGGCGATGGAGGGTGGAAGGTCATTTGTGGTGGATGGTGAATGTTCATGTATGATGGAGGGTGATATGTGGTGGATGGTGGATGTTGACGGAGGGTGGATGTTGATGCGTGGTGGATCGTGATGTGGATGGTGAGGGTTGATGGTTCTCACCGTGGGCCGAGTTGGTGGAGTCGCTCTTCAACCCTTGATTTGTCTCCACTTTCGCGTCATCCGAGTACTGACCGCGAAGCGAGCGGAGCAGCAGCAAGGGCTGCGAATTGTTACGTCTGGGAGCCACCGGGTGGCGCACGGGTACCGTGGGACCCGAGCCACGACCCCCTCATGCCACAAGTGCTGTTGATGCCCTGTCTCAGTGTCGGGGTGACCACATTGTCAGCTCAGGGATTGGCAACCGGGCAGATGGAAGACCCCAATATTTGATGTCTCTTTGCACGGTCGCACCCCAGGCTCTTCCATATCGTGGCTTCTCTTGCCCCAATCACATCGTCGCTATGCTCACGGTCTTGAACATTTAACGCTGTAAGGGGGGCCTCCTAACTCTTAGCTTTGGCCACCACGGGGATGCAAAGCCCCCCCCCCCACCCTCGTGACGCTACTGCCCTGCCCCGTCTCAAGGCCTTCCTTCCGTCCTTTGCCCACGACTGCCTGTCTCTCAGTGCCGACTCGAGCCACGCCGCCAACTCTGTGCGGCATCTCGAGGTCCGGTTGCAAGTTGCGCGCCGCCACTGAGTAAAATCCCCATTGCAGACGCACTGGGAAAGGGTTGCCACCTAACTCGGGACAGCCTGGGACTTGACGTCTGTGTTCGGGCGGCAGGAGTTTGCACTTGTACCGAGATCTGTTGCCTGGGCCGCCTCTTGAGAAATCTGACCGAGTTGGGGGGGGGGGGGGTCTGCAGTGGCGCCACGGTAGCCAGATGTTAAATCCCTCGCCTGGTATAGAGGTCGTGGGTTCGATCCTGACCCGGACTGCTATATATTTGGAGTTTGCGTCTCTCTCTCCGCTTGGTTGTGGCTACTTTCTCCGCGTCATGCCAGTTTTCCCTCCGCATTTAGAATCAACATCACGCGTTTAGAGTTGGCTGCTGCTGCCATACATTTCCACATCGATGAGCCACTTAAGTGAGCTATCAATTGTAATAGCCCGGTCGCTTCTGAAAAACACCTGCATAGCTCAGTGGGGCCCTTACCTGGTAAAAAGAAAATGTTATGTTTTTTTCACTCGCACTCAAAAAACGCGAAGCGACTTCCTGCATCGACCTCGGTCCGCTCACTGCCAGCAGCGTTTATTCCACACACTTTGGCACAAACAGCGCATGGCCGACGTTCCAGAACCTGACCGCTGGGCAGGCATGAAAGGCCCAGATTCAAAAGCGCTCGGCTGAGGACCAAACGTTCGGCCAGAAATTTGTCTCGAACACCTGAATCGCGTGCCTCGTTCTTTCACAACAGAACGCGCTCACTCCTGCGAACATTACATTTCGATTTTCGCAGGTAACAAAAAACAGATGAATAACATTTGTAACACGAACACTTGAACAATCGCCAAGGCACCAAAGCCAATCGCAACAATTAAGAGTGGCGAGACTGTTTCCTGAGTAACAAGTGCAATAACACTGAAATCACGTTGGTTGGTCACTGGTGGGAATGTTTGCTCGTAACGGACTTGGTTGATTGTTGTGTTTTTAGCAGGGAACCCCACCTTGATGAAGTCTGGTGAGAAGTTCCATGCGTGCTGGCTATTATTCGTCACACCCAGCCTTCTCAATCCTGCGTCTAGAGCTGGGACCGTGAGTCACTAAACTGTGTCTAGAGCTGGGACCGTGAGTCACTAAACTGTGTCTAGAGCTGGGACTGTGAGTCACTAAACTGTGTCTAGAGCTGGGACTGTGAGTCACTAAACTGTGTCTAGAGCTGGGACTGTGAGTCACTAAACTGTGTCTAGAGCTGGCACCGTGAGTCACTAAACTGTGTCTAGAGCTGGGACCGTGAGTCACTAAACTGTGTCTAGAGCTGGGACTGTGAGTCACTAAACTGTGTCAAGAGCTGGGACTGTGAGTCACTAAACTGTGTCTAGAGCTGGGACTGTGAGTCACTAAACTGTGTCTAGAGCTGGCACCGTGAGTCACTAAACTGCGTCTAGAGCTGGGACCGTGAGTCACTAAACTGTGTCTAGAGCTGGGACTGTGAGTCACTAAACTGTGTCTAGAGCTGGGACTGTGAGTCACTAAACTGTGTCTAGAGCTGGGACTGTGAGTCACTAAACTGTGTCTATAGCTGGGACCGTGAGTCACTAAACTGTGTCTAGAGCTGGGACCGTGAGTCACTAAACTGTCTAGAGCTGGGACTGTGAGTCACTAAACTGTCTATAGCTGGGACTGTGAGTCACTAAACTGTGTCTAGAGCTGGGACTGAGTCACTAAACTGTGTCTAGAGCTGGGACTGTGAGTCACTAAACTGTGTCTAGAGCTGGGACCGTGAGTCACTAAACTGTGTCTAGAGCTGGGACTGTGAGTCACTAAACTGTCTAGAGCTGGGACTGTGAGTCACTAAACTGTGTCTAGAGCTGGGACTGAGTCACTAAACTGTGTCTAGAGCTGGGACTGTGAGTCACTAAACTGTGTCTAGAGCTGGGACCGTGAGTCACTAAACTGTGTCTAGAGCTGGGACCGTGAGTCACTAAACTGTGTCTAGAGCTGGGACCGTGAGTCACTAAACTGTGTCTAGAGCTGGGACTGTGAGTCACTAAACTGTGTCTAGAGCTGGGACCGTGAGTCACTAAACTGTGTCTAGAGCTGGGACTGAGTCACTAAACTGTCTATAGCTGGGACTGTGAGTCACTAAACTGTGTCTAGAGCTGGGACTGTGAGTCACTAAACTGTGTCTATAGCTGGGACCGTGAGTCACTAAACTGTGTCTAGAGCTGGGACCGTGAGTCACTAAACTGTGTCTAGAGCTGGGACCGTGAGTCACTAAACTGTGTCTAGAGCTGGGACTGTGAGTCACTAAACTGTGTCTAGAGCTGGGACTGTGAGTCACTAAACTGTGTCTAGAGCTGGGACTGTGAGTCACTAAACTGTGTCTATAGCTGGGACCGTGAGTCACTAAACTATGTCTAGAGCTGGGACTGTGAGTCACTAAACTGTGTCTAGAGCTGGGACTGTGAGTCACTAAACTGTGTCTATACCTGGGACCGTGAGTCACTAAACTGTGTCTAGAGCTGGGACTGTGAGTCACTAAACTGTGTCTAGAGCTGGGACCGTGAGTCACTAAACTGTGTCTAGAGCTGGGACCGTGAGTCACTAAACTGTGTCTAGAGCTGGGACCGTGAGTCACTAAACTGTGTCTAGAGCTGGGACTGTGAGTCACTAAACTGTGTCTAGAGCTGGGACTGTGAGTCACTAAACTGTGTCTAGAGCTGGGACTGTGAGTCACTAAACTGTGTCTAAAGCTGGGACCGTGAGTCACTAAACTGTGTCTAGAGCTGGGACCGTGAGTCACTAAACTGTGTCTAGAGCTGGGACTGTGAGTCACTAAACTGTGTCTAGAGCTGGGACTGTGAGTCACTAAACTGTGTCTAGAGCTGGGACTGTGAGTCACTAAACTGTGTCTAGAGCTGGGACTGTGAGTCACTAAACTGTGTCTAGAGCTGGGGTCGTGAGTTACTAAATTCTGTGTTTAGAGCTGCGACCATGAGTCACTAAACTGTCTAAAGTTGGGACCGTGAAACAGTAAACTCTGTGGGTCTAGAGTTGGGACCGTGAGTCACTAATATGTGTCTAGAGCTGGTACCGTGAGTCACTAAACTCGGTGTGTCTATAGCTGGGACCATGAGTCACTAAACTCTGTGTGTTTGGAGTCAAGACCGTGAGTCACTAAACTATATGTCTACAGCTGGAACCGTGAGTCACTAAACTCTATGGGACTAGAGCTGAGACAGTGAGTCACGAAAGTCTGTGTCTATAGCTGGGACCGAGAGTCGCTAAACTCAGTGGGTCTAGAGTTGGGGCCGTGAGTCACTAAACCCTGTGTCTATACAACTCGGTTAGTGAATGACTAAACTGTGTCGAGTTGGAACTGTGAGTCACTAAACTGTGTCTAAAGATGGGGCCTTGAGTCGCTAAACTCAGTGTGTCTAGAGGTGGGACAATGAGTCACGAAACTCTGTCCAGAGTTAAGACCGTGAGTCCCTAAACTCAGTGTGTCTAGAGCTGGAACTGTGAGTCACTAAACTCAGTGTCTAGAGCTAGGACCGTGAGTCACTAAACTCTGTGTGTCTAGAGCTGGAACTGTGAGTCACTAAACTCTGTGTGTCTAGAGCTGAGACAGTGAGTCACTAAATTCTGTCTATAGCTGGGACTGTAAGTCACGAAACTCTGTCTAGAGTTGGGACCCTTAGTCACTAAACTCAGTGTGTCTGGAGTCAAGACTGTGAGTCACTAAATTCTGTCTAGAGTTAAGACCGTGAGTCACTGAACAATGTGTCGAGAGCTGGGACCGTGAGTCACTAAATTCTGTGTCTATCGCTGGGAGCACGAGTCGCTAAACTCAGTGTCTAGAATCTTAATTTTGGAGCTTTCGTGACTGCAGGAATTATTCTTTGGTTTTTTCGGTAAAGTCACGTATAAAAATAAAATAATAAATTAAATAATAGCATACGACGTTTCGATTATTTTATTTTTATACGTGACTTTACCGAAAAAAACAAAGAATAATCAGTGTCTAGAATTGGGACCGTGACTCACTAAACTCTGGATGTCTAGAGCTGGGACCGATAGTCACTAAACTCAGTGTGTCTAGGGCTGGGACCTTGAGCCACTAAACTCTGTCTACAGCTGGGGCCGTGAGTCACTAAACTCGGTGTCTTGATTTGGGACTGTGAGTCAAACTCTGCGTCTCGAGTTCAGATCGTGAGTCACTAAACTCAGTATGTCTAGAACTGCGGTCATGAGTCACTAAACTCTGTCTAGAGTTAAGACCATGAGTCGCTAAATTCAGTGTTCTTCGGTTCTTTCGGTAAAGTCACGTAGATAGAAATTAATCACGATGTTTCGATCGCAACACAAGCAATCCTCATCAGGGTGAGTATTGCTTGTGTTGCGATCGAAACGTCGTTATTTATTTTAATTTCTAACTACGTGACTTTACCGAAAGAACCAAAGAGTATGGATTTCTGCATCACGAAAGCTTCAAATCCAGATTAAGCTCTGTGGGTCTACAGCTGGGACCACGAGTCACTAAACTCACTGTCTACAGCTGGGGCTGTGAGTCACTAAACTCACCGTGTCTACAGCTGGGGCCGTGAGTCACTAAACTCTGTGGGTCTATAATTGGGACCGTGAGTCACTAAACTGTGTGTCTAGAGCTGGGACCATGAGTCTCTAAACTCTTTGTCTGCAGCTGGGACCGTGAGTCATTACACGCGGTGTGTCTAGAGCTGGGACTGTGAGTCACTAAACTGTTTCTAGAGTTGGGACCCTGAATAACCTAAACTCTGTGTCTCGGACTGGGACCACGAGTCACTAAACTGTGTCTAGAGCTGGGACCGTGAGTCACTAAACTCAGTGTGTCTACAGCTGGGACCGTGTGTCACTAAACTCAGCGTGTCCAGAACTCGGACCGTAAGTCACTAAACTGTGTCTAGAGCTGGGACCGTGAGTCACTAAACTGTGTCTAGAGCTGGGACTGTGAGTCACTAAACTGTGTCTAGAGCTGGGACTGTGAGTCACTAAACTGTGTCTAGAGCTGGGACTGTGAGTCACTAAACTGTGTCTAAAGCTGGGACCGTGAGTCACTAAACTGTGTCTAGAGCTGGGACCGTGAGTCACTAAACTGTGTCTAGAGCTGGGACTGTGAGTCACTAAACTGTGTCTAGAGCTGGGACTGTGAGTCACTAAACTGTGTCTAGAGCTGGGACTGTGAGTCACTAAACTGTGTCTAGAGCTGGGACTGTGAGTCACTAAACTGTGTCTAGAGCTGGGGTCGTGAGTTACTAAATTCTGTGTTTAGAGCTGCGACCATGAGTCACTAAACTGTCTAAAGTTGGGACCGTGAAACAGTAAACTCTGTGGGTCTAGAGTTGGGACCGTGAGTCACTAATATGTGTCTAGAGCTGGTACCGTGAGTCACTAAACTCGGTGTGTCTATAGCTGGGACCATGAGTCACTAAACTCTGTGTGTTTGGAGTCAAGACCGTGAGTCACTAAACTATATGTCTACAGCTGGAACCGTGAGTCACTAAACTCTATGGGACTAGAGCTGAGACAGTGAGTCACGAAAGTCTGTGTCTATAGCTGGGACCGAGAGTCGCTAAACTCAGTGGGTCTAGAGTTGGGGCCGTGAGTCACTAAACCCTGTGTCTATACAACTCGGTTAGTGAATGACTAAACTGTGTCGAGTTGGAACTGTGAGTCACTAAACTGTGTCTAAAGATGGGGCCTTGAGTCGCTAAACTCAGTGTGTCTAGAGGTGGGACAATGAGTCACGAAACTCTGTCCAGAGTTAAGACCGTGAGTCCCTAAACTCAGTGTGTCTAGAGCTGGAACTGTGAGTCACTAAACTCAGTGTCTAGAGCTAGGACCGTGAGTCACTAAACTCTGTGTGTCTAGAGCTGGAACTGTGAGTCACTAAACTCTGTGTGTCTAGAGCTGAGACAGTGAGTCACTAAATTCTGTCTATAGCTGGGACTGTAAGTCACGAAACTCTGTCTAGAGTTGGGACCCTTAGTCACTAAACTCAGTGTGTCTGGAGTCAAGACTGTGAGTCACTAAATTCTGTCTAGAGTTAAGACCGTGAGTCACTGAACAATGTGTCGAGAGCTGGGACCGTGAGTCACTAAATTCTGTGTCTATCGCTGGGAGCACGAGTCGCTAAACTCAGTGTCTAGAATCTTAATTTTGGAGCTTTCGTGACTGCAGGAATTATTCTTTGGTTTTTTCGGTAAAGTCACGTATAAAAATAAAATAATAAATTAAATAATAGCATACGACGTTTCGATTATTTTATTTTTATACGTGACTTTACCGAAAAAAACAAAGAATAATCAGTGTCTAGAATTGGGACCGTGACTCACTAAACTCTGGATGTCTAGAGCTGGGACCGATAGTCACTAAACTCAGTGTGTCTAGGGCTGGGACCTTGAGCCACTAAACTCTGTCTACAGCTGGGGCCGTGAGTCACTAAACTCGGTGTCTTGATTTGGGACTGTGAGTCAAACTCTGCGTCTCGAGTTCAGATCGTGAGTCACTAAACTCAGTATGTCTAGAACTGCGGTCATGAGTCACTAAACTCTGTCTAGAGTTAAGACCATGAGTCGCTAAATTCAGTGTTCTTCGGTTCTTTCGGTAAAGTCACGTAGATAGAAATTAATCACGATGTTTCGATCGCAACACAAGCAATCCTCATCAGGGTGAGTATTGCTTGTGTTGCGATCGAAACGTCGTTATTTATTTTAATTTCTAACTACGTGACTTTACCGAAAGAACCAAAGAGTATGGATTTCTGCATCACGAAAGCTTCAAATCCAGATTAAGCTCTGTGGGTCTACAGCTGGGACCACGAGTCACTAAACTCACTGTCTACAGCTGGGGCTGTGAGTCACTAAACTCACCGTGTCTACAGCTGGGGCCGTGAGTCACTAAACTCTGTGGGTCTATAATTGGGACCGTGAGTCACTAAACTGTGTGTCTAGAGCTGGGACCATGAGTCTCTAAACTCTTTGTCTGCAGCTGGGACCGTGAGTCATTACACGCGGTGTGTCTAGAGCTGGGACTGTGAGTCACTAAACTGTTTCTAGAGTTGGGACCCTGAATAACCTAAACTCTGTGTCTCGGACTGGGACCACGAGTCACTAAACTGTGTCTAGAGCTGGGACCGTGAGTCACTAAACTCAGTGTGTCTACAGCTGGGACCGTGTGTCACTAAACTCAGCGTGTCCAGAACTCGGACCGTAAGTCACTAAACTGTGTCTAGAGCTGTGGCCGTGAGTAACTCAACTTTTTGTGTCTGGAGTTGGGACCGTGAGTCACTAAACTCTGTATAGAGTTAAGAGCGTGAGTTACTAAACGATGTGTGTCGAGAGCTGGGACCGTGAGTCACTAAAATGCGGTCTATAGTTGGGAGCATGAGTCGCTAAACTCAGTGTCTACAGCTGGGACAGTGAGTCACTAAACTGTGTCTAGAGTTGGGACTGTGAGTCACTAAACTCAGTGTGTCTACAGCTGGGACCTTGCGCTACTAAACTCTGTCTACAGCTGGGGCCGTGAGTCACTAAACTCGGTGTCTTGATCTGGGACTGTGAGTCTAACTCTGCGTCTCGAGTTCAGACCGTGAGTCACTAAACTGTTTCTAGAGTTGGGACCCTGAATCACCTAAACTCTGTGTCTCGGGCTGGGAACACGAGTCACTAAACTGTGTCTACAGCTGGGACCATGTGTCACTAAACTCAGCGTGTCTATAGCTGGGACCGTGTGTCACTAAACTCACTGTCTAGAGCTAAGACCGTGAGTCACTAAACTCACTGTCTAGAGCTTTGACCGTGAGTCACTAAATTCAGCGTGTCTAGAGCTGCGACCGGGAGTCACTAAACACTGTGTCGAGAGCTCGGACCGTGAGTCGCTAAACTCGGTGTCTTGATCTGGGACTGTGAGTCAAACTTTGCGTCTCGAGTTCAGACCGTGAGTCACTAAACTCAGTGTGTCTAGAACTGCGGCCGTGAGTCACTAAACTCTGTCTAGAGTTAAGACCGTGAGTCGCTAAATTCAGTGTTCTTTGGTTCTTTTGGTAAAGTCACGTACATAGAAATAAAAGAAAACAAATCACGATGTTTCGATCGCAACACAAGCAATCCTCATCAGGGTGAGTATTGCTTGTGTTGCGATCGAAACGTCGTTATTTATTTAAATTTCTAACTACGTGACTTTACCGAAAGAACCAAAGAGTATGGATTCCTGCATCACGAAAGCTTCAAATCCAGATTATACTCTGTGGGTCTAGAGCTGGGACCACGAGTCACTAAACTCACTGTCTACAGCTGGGGCTGTGAGTCACTAAACTCACCGTGTCTACAGCTGGGGACGTGAGTCACTATACTCTGTGGGTCTAGAATTGGGACCGTGAGTCACTAAGCTGTGTGTCTAGAGCTGGGACCATGAGTCACTAAACTCTCTATCTACAGCTGGGACGGTGAGTCATTAAACTCAATGTGTCTAGAGCTGGGACTGTGAGTCACTAAACTCAGTGTGTTTATAGCTGCGACCGTGAGTCACTAAACTGTTTCTAGAGTTGGGACCCTGAATAACCTAAACTCTGTCTCGGGCTAGGACCACGAGTCACTAAACTCAGTGTCTACAGCTGGGACCGTGAGTCACAATACTCAGTGTGTCTAGAACTCGGACCGTGAGTCATTAAACTATGTCTAGAGCTGCGGCCGTGAGTCACTAAACTCTGTGTCTAGAGCTGTGGCCGTGAGTAACTCAACTCTTTGTGTCTGAAGTTGGGACCGTGAGTCACTAAACTGTCTACAGTTAAGAGCGTGAGTCACTAAACGACGTGTGTCGAAAGCTGGGACCGTGAGTCACTAAATGCTGTGTCTATAGTTGGGAGCATGAGTCGCTAAACTCAGTGTCTACAGCTGGGACAGTGAGTCACTAAACTGTGTCTAGAGTTGGGACTGTGAGTCACTAACCTCGGTGTGTCTAGAGCTGGGACCGTGAGTCGCTAAATTCTGTCTAGAGTTAAGACCGTGAGTCACTGAACAATGTATGTCGAGAGCTGGGACCGTGAGTCACTCAATTCTCGCTGGGAGCATGAGTCGCTAAACTCAGTGTCTAAAATTGGGACCGTGAGTCACTAAACTGTGTCTAGAGCTGTGACCGTGAGTAACTCAACTCTTTGTGTCTGAAGTTGGGACTGTGAGTCACTAAACTCTGTCTAGAGTTAAGAGCGTGAGTCGCTAAACTCAGTGTCTACAGCTGGGACAGTGAGTCACTAAACTGTGTCTAGAGTTGGGACTGTGAGTCGCTAAACTGTGTGTCAACAGCTGGGACCGTGTGTCATAATACTTAGTGTGTCTAGAACTCGGACCGTGAGTCACTAAACTCAGTGTCTAGAGCTGGAACCGTGAGTCACTAAACTCCATTGTGTCTACAGCTGGGACAGAGTTTAGTGACTCACTGTGTGTCGAGAGTTAAGACCGTGAGTCACTAAACTGTGTTTCTAGAGTTGGGCCCCTGAATCACCTAAACTGTGTCTCAGGCTGGGACCGTTGTCACTAAACACAGTGTGTCTAGAGCTGGGACGAGTCACTAAACTGTGTCTACAGCTGGGACCGTGAGTCACTAAACTCCGTGCTTCGAGAGCTAGGACCGCAAGTTACTAGACTCTGTGTCTACAGCTGGGACCGTGGGTCACGAAAGTCCATGTGTCTAGAATTAAACTGTGAGTCACTAAACTCAGTGTGTCTAGAGCTGGGACCGTGTTTCACTAAACTCATTGTCTAGAGCTAAGACCGTGAGTCACTAAACTGTGTCTAGAGCTGGGACCGTGAGTCAGTAAACTCCATGTATCTAGAGCTAGGACCGCAAGTTACTAGACTCTGTGTCTACAGCTGGGACCGCGGGTCACGAAAGTCCGTGTGTTTAGAGTTAAGACCGTGAGCCACTAAACTGTGTGTATACAGCTGGGACCGTAAGTCACTAAACTGTGTCTAGAGCTGGTGCCGTGATCCACTAAACTCTAGAGCTGGAAAAAATTAGTACCACTTTGTGTGGGAGTCAACAATGGTTCTTTTGGATAGACTCATCCCTGTCATAGGAACATGTAATTTCCACCACTTGCTCAGGGCTATAAACGGGGTGCACCGACGCTCCCTGGAGCAGGAAAGCATCTCAGGCCAATAGACTTTTGTAATCGACGAGAAAATCGTAATCGACGGCTCTTTCTGTAGCCAATTACCGGGTCCCCCTTCAGAAATATCAGCCCACCCTCCCCTCCTTCCCCCTGCCATGAAACCCCCTACAAGCCACGTCCAGCAAGACACTGTTTCAATGACAGGTATAGTCTGCCAGCTGGGTGGCGATTTAGATATGTGTTTTTACTATTGAGAGCGAATTGCCGTGTCGTTTTTAATGTGGCAAAAAATTTGGACCGAGAGGGGCCTATGGACAACGGCCGACTCGTTTAGAATCGCGTCACGGGATCCTTAAAGTCCACCATGGGGGAGAAGAGGGGAAAAGCGGGTGGCTCATGGCAACTCCCGCGGTTAACGCGACCGGCACACGACGTTAACTGGGGCGGTCGCTCGGCTTGAAATGCCCATGGGCGTCTCGGGCACGCAAGCGAACCGTTCGGTGCAGAGCACTCGCGGCCATACCCCTGAGAATAACTTAGTCCAAAAACGACAACGGAAAATAAAAGTTTCATCTGCTGCGACAAGAAAGAGCGCACGGTATTGAGCGCGCGAATGTGTGTGCGTGTGCAAGTATGTGCGAGTGCGTGCGTGTGCAAGTATGTGCAAGTGCGTGCGTGCGCTTGTGAGAGTGTGTGCATTAGCGTGCGTGAGTGTGCGAGTGTGTGCGTGTGCGTGCGAACGAGCGCATTCTCCGCGAGCGGTGGCCGCGGTGTCAGGCATCGCCCAAGCTAGGCTGCGCATAGTGGAGCGATTAGTACAGCAAGTGAGTGTGAGTGCGCGCGCGAGAGAGCGAGTGCGTGCGTGAGTGCATGAGTGCGTGAGTGAGCTGGCGAGTGCGTGCGAGTGGACGCAAGTGCGTCTGTCCACCGGTAACCCCCACCCTGCCCAATCCCGCCCACCCGCGGGCTGGCACCCTCCTATCTCCTCAGCCGCTCCAGCCTCCTGCGTCTGAGCTCCTCCGGAGAGAGGAATCCCGGCTCAGGGGGGGTGAACGATCCTGTACAGAGGTGAGGGGCACAGCGGGAGGGCGATGGTGATTGGAGAAATAAGCGGAGAGGAGGCAGTGAGGGAGAGGAAGGAGTGGGAGTCAGGAGGAAAGCGGGGAGAGTCGGCGGGAGGGAGATGGGAGTGCAGGAGGGAGCGCAAAAATGAGTGGCACGGCAGCACAAAGAACGCGCGCACACGAGCGCGCGTACGTACACACAGGGGCACGCAGACACGCGAGCGCTTTACACGTGACAGCGTGCATACACGCGCGCACGCACATTCACACGCATGCAAGTATATACATGCACATTCATGCAAACGTACGGACAAGCGAGCGCAAAGACAAATATCTCCCGTGTAGCCTTTAAGGGACTGTTGGGGCAAGTGCACCTGAAGGCCAACACTGCACACAAGGGAGCGGTGTGGTCAACACCACTCCCAGCCACTTTTATCTCCCCAGCGCCGATGTATGCACACCACACCGAGTACTCATTGAAGTAGCGAATCAACCTCGGGGAGGCCCAGGACTAATTGAAATATTCGCCACTTGCTATTGGTTGCGAGTGGGAATCGAATTCAGGTCGCTGGGTTCATAGCGCAGTGCACTAACCACGACAATACCGCGGCCCGCACACACGCACATACGTGTGCGAAAAAACACATGCGAAAAAACACATGCATAGACACACACGCGTGCGCGCACACACACACAAAACAAAGATCCCCCCTATAGCCTATAACAGACTGTTGGGGAAAATGTTGTTAGCGAGCACCTATGAAGGCCGACATGGCACACGAGGGGGTGGGTGGCCAGCACCACGCCCGACCGCCTTTGTCTCCCCAGTGGTGATGTTTACACACCACACCAGGTACTCATTTGAGGCTGAGTTAACCTAGGGGAGGCACATGACCGGGTTCAGATAATTCTTACTGGTCTCGGTGACCTTAAGTGGGAATTTAACTCGTGTCACCGGGTTCATAGAGCAGCGCAGCCAACCGCTCCTCACACACACTCTCACTAACAAAGACACACACACGCACAGACGCAGCAATGTACAAGAAGTGAGAGTGCATTCACACACCCCATGCACACACTCCCGTCGCAGTGCGAGTGGGTGAGGTAAATTGTGGGTACTCTTACCTCTTCCGAAACAAGGAAGGGTCCCCTAAATACACTCTCTCTCTCGAGCTCTCTCTCTCGGTGGTGCAGCACTGCCCCTTTGACCGTCACCCCACGCCAAGTGCCAAATGAACCCCGGGAGGGTGGGGGGGCGCTGCTCACTCGTGTCACGCAGGCTGGCTCGCATCGCCTCCTGCAGATCCTCGTCCTCCGATGTCTCGCCCGTGTAGCTCAGGAACTCCGCGCTGCGATGCTCGTAGCGGTGGTGGGTGTGCCATCCCGCGGCGTCTAGGGGGGGGGTCGACAGGCGTAGGTGACGTGCGCCGGTTACGCGTGCACGGGCGCCGGCTCGGAGCGGACGGGATGAGCGGAAACCGCTCACCAAACTTAATAACCAGGCTACAGTCTACATTATAGACTGCCAGTACACTCACTCCGATTAAGAACCAGGCTACAGTCTACATTAGTGTTTTGTATTTTATTATTTTTATTTACTTTATTTTCATTATGATCTTTCGATCTACGTGACTTTACCTAAAGAACCAAAGAATATGAATTCCTGCAGTCACGAAAGTTTTAAGTCAAAATTTTACGGATTGCACGTCGCACCACGTCGCCGCCGTTACCGTCGACAGCACACGAACCGCACCTGCTCCGGGCAACTCTCCGGTCACGGCGTACCCACCCCGCGCGCACGTCAATGGATGCTGTGGCAAATGAGACATCCCATTATTGCGAGGGGCAGTCCCGGTGCAACGCTCGCACGGTTCCTTATCCCCCAGGTTCTGCGGCACCCAAAGCCGCTTGAGGCGGTCTCAAGCGAATCGCCACGTGATGGCCCCGGTCATCATCAATTCAACGAGATGAACAAAAGGCGCAAATCCCGTGGCACGACCTTCGCTCAGTCAGGGCAACGGCAGCGGCGACGTCACCACACCGGATCGGTGCCTTCAGTGCAAACATGGCCTACCAGCACCACACCGTGTCTGTCACGTTTAGGCGGCCGCACGTCTCGAGCCAATTGTGTAACCGGGTGAGAACCCAAGAGGGCCAAGGAGGACAGCAGTCTCGTAGATTTACAAGATATGACCCGCGTAGTTTGACCATACTTCCCCACTCTGGTCAGCAAGTCAAATATGCACTTTGCCGACTCGGTTGCTTCTCAACGCCTTTCAAATCTGGGTGATGGTGTCCAGGGCCGGATCATAGTCCGGTGAGGCCCCTGGGCACGTCTTTTGGAGGCCGCCCCTTTCCTATATTGGTGTCTTTCTTGCTTTCCTCCTCGCAAAATCATCCACTAGATCATCAAAATCTAGCTGTCTGACAAGGTCTGACTCTATTGACGTAAGTGACAATGAGCTGAGACGTGTTTGGCACATGCTACTCCGCAGCTCATTTTTTATTCTGCCTAAAAGGGAAAATGTCTGCTCACCCTTGCAGTTTGTCACTGGCAAAGTTAGAAAAATCCGAAGTGCCACGAAAACATTGAGGAACACTGACTGCAGATTAAGTGCCTGCAACTTCTCAAGCAATTTAGTTGGGCACTTCTCACCCTCAGAGTCAGACATGAAAGACTTGAATCGGATTAGTTCGTTGGCAAAGTTCATGTCCAGGTCTGATGGATATGTAGCGGAGAGTGCATTTACCTTGTCCACAATATCACTTTTAGACACCTGATCTGACATAAGCAGAACTCCAAAGAGACTGGTCAAACGCTTGTAAGCATCCAAGCGGTATTCAAGGCATGCCACGAGCTGATCAATGACCTAAAATGTTTCTATTTTGAACTTCTCCCTCCCCTCAAGTGTCACACCTGGCTCTGAGCTCTCATCTGCAAGTGTTTTGCGTTTCCTCTTTCGCTAACGATCGTGCTTATATGACTGAGAGACAGCTGCCCTTTCAAAAGCCTCAAACTGGTCTTGCTGTCCTGCCACAAAATCCCTCAATGAAGATAAAAGCTGTGCTGCTACAGAGATGTCACTTCTCTGTAGGTGCATATTTGTAGCGTGGAACTGGTCAAGATATGACGTCCCAGAAATGTGCCATGAACACCATCTCTAAGGTGTCCAATTTAGCACATAGTCCAGCGGCCTCTCTGATGTGAGTGGAATTTCTCCACAGTGCCTTGGCCGACTCTGCCCGAGCACTCCACCGAGTACTGGACAGCGATTTTAAAATCAGTCTGACATCTGTTGTCCGAAAGACTTTCCCCCATCCGTGTGTGGATGAAGAGCAAAATGTGTAGTGACTGCAACATGTAAAAAAACTCGTCAGCCTCTGGGCTACTGCTGTCTAAGGTGTTAATACCAACTAAGTTAAGTGAATGCACTGCGCAAGGCACATACTCTATTGTAGGGTGTTTTTGTTTCAGGTGGGCCTGTAGTCCATTGTATTTTCCTGACATTTTGCTTACATTGTCACATGACTGACTTCTACAGTTTAAGAGGTCCAATCCAAGGCCCTCCACCATCAAAGTCACAGTCTGTTAAACTTTTACCAGTGTGGCTCTCAATTGGCTCAAAGCCCAGGAATCGCTCCACCACATTTCCACTGCTGTTAACAAACCGGAATATGAACGTCAATTCGTCCACATGTGACAGGTCTGGGGTGGAGTCAACAATTATTGAAAAATATTTGGCATCCCGAATCTCATCTGCTATTGTTTGGCGAGTTTTCTGATCCATTAGCTCAATGAGTTCTTCACATATTGTCGATGACAAACTTTTTAATATGTTCAGCAAAGAATGGATCAAACTGTGATAGCAATTCTAGGATGCCAAGGAAATTACCGTTATGGGTTGACCCAAACCATTCATCATCTCCCCTAAACGCAAGTCCTCTTTCACCCAAGAACTTGATGACTGCTACAACTCTTTCAAAATGTCCCTCCAGTATTTACGTTTCCCATCAAGTTGCTGCATGCGATCTGCATCTATAGTACTGCCCTTTGTCCGCTGGTGCAAGGCAAGCGTGCATGATCTGTGTTCTGCACTCTTTTCGTGTTCCCCTATTCTTTCAGAGTGCTTCCAGTCATTAAACCCCTGACTAAAGCCACCGAGCTTGCTTCAGAACAATTTGCATGCAAAACAGTACACATAACCTGTTGAGGGTGAGTACAGTAGCCACTGTCTAGAAACCTTCTGCCCATTTGGCAATATACGGTTCAGAAGTTCATTGTTGAAACTTCTAGTCTTTCCACCAAGCGTTCTATCTCGGACTGAAGCCGGGTATTTTCCCCTGTGGTTTTGGAAGGGGAATGCTCCTCTTTCAATAACTGACTTAACAATGTCACTGGAAGTGCTTTGCCATAAAGCAGGGTCAGTGACCTCAGAGCACCAGGAATGGCTTGGTTGCTGATTTGATTCTTGTGAACTGCCCAACTGCTCCTGAGGTGGAAATGGTTCTTGTATACCATTAGCTGTTGAGGGTTTGCCTTCAAAGGTTGGCTCTGGGGGAGTGACATTACTGGAAACTGAACTAGGTCCTACCCACAGCTGACAATAGTGCTGCTGTGATCATTATTACTATCAGAGGGTTTTTGAAAGAAGTTGGCAATGAATAAAACACTCTGAAGCAAAACTGCCTCTTGCCTCCTTTTCTTTGTCTTTCCTTTTGGAAGCACCACTATTCCAACGTTTGCGGTCCATATTTCAGAACAAGTATGCTATTTATATGAATATATTTATAGAATATCTCAATACTTATTAAATAATAATTGAATTAATATATATTAATAATGACACCATTCAAATACTGTTGTTGGAAAATACAATCAAGTGGTAGTATTTTATAGTGTACTTGTACCTAAAGGCAACTTTGAGTAGATAAAAGAAAAACATAGAAAAGCACATGACAGAATATAACCCCAACCCTTTAAAAAGGCTGTTCGAAAATAACCCTTAGGAGAGATTGTTGAAATAGCCTTTAAAAAGGCTGTTGTTTTAGAAAAAGATGAAAAAAGTATCTGAATATATTACTGTGGCGTACCAAGCAAGAAAACGGACATGTCTGTGGCTTTTCCTACCAAGAAATGTCTTATAAACCCGCCTGACACAGAGATAATTATGTTGCTTGAAATACAAAAGATAACTTTTTTTTTGGCTGAAAAACCACCAAAGGTTTCTAATGTCAGTGAAATTACGTGGTGGAAACTATGCACATAGGCCACACCCCATCGATGGGAAGGGGAAAAAGAGCTGTCAACAATTTGCATGTCAACGTTAGCATTATCTACTTCCGTGGATCTAAAAACAGACGGTCTATGGAAAAAATGAATGGGGTTTTCCTTAATATTTAAGTATGGATTGGGTCTCTTATATATGTGTTAATGTATGAAAAAATATAGCTTTTGGCATTTTTTTTTATGTTTCACAAAACCGCGGTGTATTTTTTATAATTTGTCAACAGCTAAGCTCTCAACAAATGAAGAGCCCTCGGTCTCACTAGCTGGCTTTTTAGTGCAGCCAATTTGGTTGTAGGGGCAGCTAGCTGGCAAAAATGGCAGCTCGCTATCTAAATTCTGTTAACAAGCTGAATCATATGGGCAGCTAGCTAGGGAAAATGGGCAGATAGCTAAAATAAAGGGATAGCTAGTTACGAACGGCTTGCCATAATGACGCCCTTCAAACTGTCCTGTTATGCAGAATGAACTGACTTGTTGGTGAATATTGTATCATGTCACAGCATATTGTAGCGTGCCAACCAGTGGCTAAGTTGTACAGAAGCACTGTACTCTCCGAGAGGCTCTCGTTTTAAGCATGCACTATATGTACCAAGGGGCCCCAGGTGTTACGCTTGATGTATGCACCGAGGGGCCTGGGGGCCCGAGTGGTCAACTCGCGCTTTAAGCACCGAGGGGCCTCACATTGTAAGCGCTGTGGGGCCCAGGGGCCCGAGTGGTCAGCTAGCGCTTTAAGCACGGAGGGGCCCAGGGACCCTCACACTGTAGGTGCCGAGGGGCCCAGAGGCTCCAGTGGTCAGATCATGCTTTAAGCCCAAGGAGCCTAGGGGCCCTAGTGGTCAGCTCACTCTTTAAAAAACGCCAAGGGGCCTGGGAGCTCTGACACTGTAAGCGCCAAGGGGTCTGGGGGGCAGTAATGGTGAGCTCACATTTTAAACACCAAGGGGCCCGGGGGCCCTCACATTGCAAGCGCTGATGGGTCTGGGGGGCCCTAGTGGTTAGCTCACGCTATAAGCACCCAGGGGCCTAGTGGTCAGCTTGCGATGTGCGCATTGAGGGCCCTGGCGTTCAACTTCCTTCGGAGGTCGTGGGCCATGCACCGCGCGCGGCCTAAGGCTTGGAGGCCCCCTGGCAGTGCGAGGCCCCAGGGCACTGGAACCACTGGTCCGGTCCATAATCCAGCCTTGATGGTGTCGGCGGCGTGCAGCTTCGAGGTCCCGGTGACTCTCGCAACGACAATGCAACGCGAGTGGCGTGCGAGTGTAAAGTTGCGTAGGTATCTAGGAAGTCGCCGTACAGGAAACCGGATTGCACTGATCAAAGGCCTTCCCAACATTTGGCAATAAAAAATCCAGCGATGAAAGATTGGCCTTGTTGCCCACAGGGTGACGCCATATGGACACACACACGCACCTTATTCCTCTCCCCACGATGTCACTCGGACTGGACGGAAGTAACAGATGGACGAACAGAGAGACAAACAGATGGACAAAGCTAAAGCGATTAAACCTTCACTGGTAAAGCATTAGATCCGACGACAACATCAAGTGCACCTCCTCCTCCTCGTATCTTGGTTGAATTTCCGCTTCATTAATCAACCAATTTCCTTTCCCGAATTTAAATCCTCGCTCCTCCCCCGTCGTTAGCCAAACCGGGGAGGTGGGACCCCCCTCCCACCAGCACCCCCGCCCCCCACCTTGGCACCCCCACCCCTCCCCCTGGCACCCCCACCCCTCCCCACCGGGGCCCGCGGCTGAGCAGGTTTCGCTGTGAGGGTGTCAGGGCAAGACATTCACGGGCGGCTGCATCGACTTTTTAAACATTCAGACGCCTCTCGGCCATTCTGAGCACAGCCCCAGGCCTCAGGGCCGGCCGGGGACTTCTCCGCTCCTCACAGCCGGCCATGGCCTCCATGCGCTGCTGGATGAAGGCCCTCCAAGAGCCGTCGCCATCTCCATGCCCGCACGCGATCACGTCCGGCACATTGCGTTTGCCCGTTTGGCGACCCTGGGGTTGCTCTCGCAAAACAAGGCCTCATCCTTGTGTCTCGGGTCATTAAAATAAGTAAATGAAGGTGCGCTGGCGGAAGGAGCCGATTTCGTCGTCGCTCCATCTCCGCGGAGGATGTATTCTCTGGCACGTTCCATCTCTCGGCTGCCACTCCGTCGCCAGTCTCATCGGATTGTTCAAGTATGAATAAATATTTCTGATTCTGATTGTGTCTTCTAGCCGGGTCACATCCGGCCAAAGCTGACTTACTTATCCTAACGGTCAACGTGATGTCTTCATCTCTTGTTTGTTCTCAAATCCGAGTCTTCTCTCCATCTCTTTCTCTCTACTCTGCAAAATCAGCCTAAGAAAGATAAATCTCTGTGGCAGACCACCCACCCCTTCGCCCCTCCCAACCCTCCCCCAAGACCTCCACAGGCCCCTCCCCCTGGCGAGCTAATAAATATTGTAGGTACCGTCTGATGGCAGTCGCACGCATGTGGTGGTGGTGGCGACGATGGCGGTGGTGGCGGTGGTGGGGGCGCCCGCCGCCGATGTTTACTCTTGTCATGGCCCAAATTCGACAAATTATTACAAACGGAGCAAAGGCAGCGAGCGGGGTGGACACGTGCAGGCCAGGTCCCCCCTCCCCGTGACACTACGCGGACAGTACCGGTGGCAGAGAGCAACGGAACTGTGCCACACGGTGGTAAGGAACACCATGTGCGGTGGCCTCGCAGGGAGAGGTGCGCGCGGGGCGCCTGAGCCAAAGGCTTTTCTCTGTTCGGCACCAATTTTAATGGCTTGGGGCGGCGCTTTGAACGTGGCTAGTTTTTTTCCAAAGGTGAGTTCCCCGATAGCCACGCAACTTTACACTTTGAGTTCAGATCTTCCTGACGAGTTATCGTGACCCCCGCGTGACAGACAGCGATACAGACGGAGCTGACGCACGCAAGTTTGCAACCTTAGTTGGAGAGCACTGAGGAGCAATCGATCCGGTAAACTAATCTGGCCAAGGAATGGTGACGATTCCTAGAATCGTAAAGGGGACATTGATTTGCAATATCGGTCGACACGCACGCAAGCGCAGGCAAGCACGCGCACGCTCGCACGCACGCACGCAAGCGCATGCGCGCACAGGCACGCACACGCTCGCAAGCACTCGCACGCACGCGCAGGCACGGCGCTCCTCCTCTGCTCCTCCCCCCGTGCCCTCTCCGCACCATCACATATTATTTATGTCCCACGAGACACAGCGGGGCATAACACGCTCACGGAGAACACACTCACGGAAAGCACGTGCACACGTGTACACAAGGGGTATCACACGCAACTCAGATCAAAAGACGCAAAAAAAATACACGCACGCAAGCGCGCACCAGACAGAGCATTCACAGGAACCAAAGCGCACGCGCAAACTCACTCACCGGCACAAGCACGCACATGGCCACCCGCACGCCAACACGCGCGACTACACGCACATGCGCAGCACGACGATACACACACAGCACGCCACGTTGTGTCAAGGCCCGGGACCTCTCTCGCAACACTTACAAGCCAAACCCCGGAGGCCCCAAAGGGCGAACCGCAGTGTGGCCAACAACGCGACAACGACGGCATGGCTTTGCCGACACGCTCGCCTCCACCTGCTCGGCAGCGATTTGCTCCACACCGCCCCAAACCCACACACCCCCCTTCATCCTCAACGCCCCCCCCCCCACTCACCAGCATGGTCGCTGTAGAATACTCTGCGCAGGATTCTTGACCCAAACACCACGGCATCTACGCGACATAAACCGTGTAATTATTGATGCTGCCATCGTGGAACGATGGGAGGGAGGAGAGTGCATGTGTCTGTATGTGTGCCAGTCGACAGTGAGTAGCGGTAGGGTAGTGGTTAGTGTGCTGTGCTATGAACCCAGCCACCTGAGTTCGATTCCCGCTCACGGCCAACACCGGTGACGATTATGTGAACCTGGGCCTCCCCTAGGTCGACTCAGCCTCAAATGAGTACCTGGTGTGACGTGTAAACATCGCCACTAGGGAGACAAAGGCGGCCGGACGTGGTACTGGCGATCCACCCCCTCGTGTGCCGTGCCGGCCTTCATAGGTGCTCGCTAACAGCACTTGCCACAACAGTCTGTTCAGGCTATACAGGGGATCTTGGTCTTGCCAGCGGTGGTCCAGTGGTTAGCGCACTGCCAAGTTTGATTCCCAAAATCGGTGATGAATATCTAAACTGGTCCCGAGCCTCCCCAAGTTCGACTCACCCTTAAACATCAGAAATGGGGAGACAAAGGCGGCCGAGCATGGTGCTCCACGCCGGCCTTTGTAGGTGCTCGCTAAGAGCACTTGTGCAGGCGACATGGGGGACCTTTGTCGTTGCGTGTCGGTTGGAGCGGTGCCGCCCTGTCCAGGAATGAAACTCAGGTCACAGGGTTCGTGGCGAAGGTCACCAAATGCTTCACGACTCCGGGACCAGGCCAGGGGGCTCAGCGATGGAGCGAGTAGCTCGCAGAAACCGGACTAAACTACCAAAACTATTTCATTATTTTACCAGGTATGGCCCACTGAGCTCTACAGCTTTTTCAGAAGCGTGCTGGCTATATCACGTAAAAATGTATACTAGCAGCCAAATACTCTAAACGCGTGACATTGATTCTAAACGTGTAGGGAAAAACCGGAGGAAATTCCACGCGACCACGGGGAGAGAGAGACACACGAAAACTCCAAATATACAGCAGGCGTCAGGGTCGGGATTAAACCCACGACCTCCTGTATACCAGGCGAGGTAGCTAACATCTCACCACCATGGGGTTCCATGGTGGCGAATCCACATGCTGGTTGTGGGGGGGATTGACTGAGCCCATCAGCCCTCCCTCCGGGGGTCAATCAAATAAGCACCACATTGGAGGGTAGAGATCAACAGCGGCTGTCCTCCGAAAATACCCGCCCTGCTATAGTAATGTGGAATCTGCACCTCCGACTCAGGGGTTGAGCACCGCCTCAATGGCCATTGGGGCAGGAAATGCCTGCGATATGTTTAAGAAGTCCGTCTCAAACTCGCTCCGTCACTCCGCGACGTGGCCCCCGACCTAAGCCAGCCCGTGAAACCGGACATCTGTGAAAAAGAGCTTTACGGCTCATCAGATTCCACGAGTACAAGTAAATAAATTCCGACGATTCTGATTCTGCAGCCAGAGGCGAGGGGGAGAGGCGAGGGGGAGAGGGAGGCGAGGGGGAGAGGCGAGGGGGAGAGGGAGGCGAGGGGGAGAGGCGAGGGGGAGAGGGAGGCGAGGGGGAGAGGCGAGGGGGAGAGGGAGGCGAGGGGGAGAGGCGAGGGGGAGAGGGAGGCGAGGGGGAGAGGCGAGGGGGAGAGGGAGGCGAGGGGGAGAGGCGAGGGGGAGAGGGAGGCGAGGGGGAGAGGCGAGGGGGAGAGGGAGGCGAGGGGGAGAGGCGAGGGGGAGAGGGAGGCGAGGGGGAGAGGCGAGGGGGAGAGGGAGGCGAGGGGGAGAGGCGAGGGGGAGAGGGAGGCGAGGGGGAGAGGCGAGGGGAGAGGGAGGCGAGGGGAGAGGGAGGCGAGGGGGGGAGAGGGAGAGTGAGGGGGAGAGGCGAGGGGGAGAGGTGAGGGGGAGAGGCGAGGGGGAGAGGCGAGGGGGAGAGGAGGGAGGCGAGGGGGGAGAGGTGAGGGGGAGAGGCGAGGGGAGAGGGAGGCGAGGGGAGAGGCGAGGGGGAGAGGCGAGGGGGAGAGGCGAGGGGGAGAGGAGGCGAGGGGAGAGGAGAGGGGGAGCGGCGAGGGGGGAGAGGGCGGGAGGGGAGCGCGGGGGAGAGGGCGGCTGAGGGGGCGGAGGGAGGCGCGGGGGAGGGAGGCGAGGGAGAGGAGAGGGAGGGCGACGGCGAGGGAGAGAGGCGAGGGGGAGGGGAGGCGAGGGGGGAGAGGGCGAGGGGGAGAGGGAGGCGAGGGGGAAGAGGGAGGCGAGGGGGAGAGGTGAGGGAGGGGAGAGGTCGAGGAGGAGAGGGAGGCGGAGAGGGCGCGAGGTGGGCGAGGCGGAGGGGTGAGAGGCGAGGGGGAGAGGGAGGCGAGGGGGAGAGGCGAGGGGGAGAGGGAGGCGAGGGGGAGAGGGGAGGCGAGGGGGAGAGGCGAGGGGGAGAGGGAGGCGAGAGGGAGGCGAGGGGGAGGGCGAGGGGGAGAGGCGGGGGGGAGAGGGAGGCGAGGGGGAGAGGGAGGCGAGGGGGAGAGGGAGGCGAGGGGGAGAGGCGAGGGGGAGCGGGAGGGGAGAGGCGAGGGGAGAGGCGAGGGGAGAGGGAGGCGAGGGGGAGAGGCGAGGGGGGAGAGGGAGGCGAGGGGGGAGAGGGAGGCGAGGGGGAGAGGGAGGCGAGGGGGAGAGGCGAGGGGGAGAGGTGAGGGGGAGAGGCGAGGGGGAGAGGCGAGGGGGAGAGGGAGGCGAGGGGGGAGAGGTGAGGGGGAGAGGCGAGGGGGAGAGGGAGGCGAGGGGGAGAGGCGAGGGGGAGAGGCGAGGGGGAGAGGGAGGCGAGGGGGAGAGGCGAGGGGGAGAGGCGAGGGGGAGAGGGAGGCGAGGGGGAGAGGCGAGGGGGAGAGGGAGGCGAGGGGGAGAGGGAGGCGAGGGGGAGAGGGAGGCGAGGGGGAGAGGCGAGGGGGAGAGGCGAGGGGGAGAGGCGAGGGGGAGAGGGAGGCGAGGGGGAGAGGCGAGGGGGAGAGGGAGGCGAGGGGGAGAGGGAGGCGAGGAGGAGAGGTGAGGGGGAGAGGCGAGGGGGAGAGGCGAGGGGGAGAGGCGAGGGGAGAGGGAGGCGAGGGGGAGAGGCGAGGGGGAGAGGCGAGGGGAGAGGCGAGGGGAGAGGCGAGGGGGGAGAGGGAGGCGAGGGGGAGAGGGAGGCGAGGGGAGAGGGAGGCGAGGGGGAGAGGGAGGCGAGGGGGAGAGGCGAGGGGGAGAGAGGCGAGGGGGAGAGGCGAGGGGGGAGAGGGAGGCGAGGGGGAGAGGCGAGGGGGAGAGGGAGGCGAGGGGAGAGGGAGGCGAGGGGGAGAGGGAGGCGAGGGGGAGAGGCGAGGGGGAGAGGTGAGGGGGAGAGGCGAGGGGGAGAGGGAGGCGAGGGGGAGAGGTGAGGGGGAGAGGCGAGGGGGAGAGGGAGGCGAGGGGGAGAGGCGAGGGGGAGAGGCGAGGGGGAGAGGCGAGGGGAGAGGGAGGCGAGGGGGAGAGGGAGGCGAGGGGGAGAGGGAGGGGAGGGAGGCGAGGGGGAGAGGAGGCGAGGGGGAGAGGGAGGCGAGGGGGAGAGGGGAGGCGAGGGGGAGAGGGAGGCGAGGGGGAGAGGGAGGCGAGGGGGAGAGGGAGGCGAGGGGGAGAGGCGAGGGGGAGAGGCGAGGGGGAGAGGCGAGGGGGAGAGGCGAGGGGGGAGAGGCGAGGGGGAGAGGGAGGCGAAGGGGGAGAGGCGAGGAGGAGAGGGAGGCGAGGGGAGAGGCGAGGGGGAGAGGCGAGGGGGAGAGGGAGGCGAGGGGGAGAGGCGAGGGGGAGAGGCAGGCGAGGGGGAGAGGCGAGGGGGAGAGGCGAGGGGGAGAGGGAGGCGAGGGGGAGAGGCGAGGGGAGAGGGAGGCGAGGGGGAGAGGGAGGCGAGGGGGAGGAGGCGAGGGGGAGAGGCGAGGGGGAGAGGCGAGGGGGAGAGGCGAGGGGAGGGAGCGAGGGCGAGGTGGGGGAGAGGGAGGCGAGGGGGAGAGGATGGGAGGGGAGAGGGAGGCGAGGGGGAGAGGCGAGGGGGAGAGGGGAGGGGGAGGGAGAGGGAGGCGAGGGGAGAGGCGAGGGGGAGAGGCGAGGGGGAGAGGGAGGCGAGGGGGAGAGGCGAGGGGGAGAGGGAGGCGAGGGGGAGAGGGAGGCGAGGGGGAGAGGCGAGGGGGAGAGGCGTACTGTCCAGCAGGCAACGCAGAGGACTGTGCACGTAGAAAAGGCCCCACGAGGATCCCTGACAGGTGCCCGATGAATGACGCCCTGCACACACAGAGAGAGGAGAGAGGGGAGACAGAAAGAAGAAGAGACGGGGGGGGGGGGGGTGTTAGGTTTAGAACATCTAGAATCCAAGCGTCTCTGCCCCCCCAATATTGAGATCGCCATGCGGCGGCTCATCACCTGCATTTTAAGTGAAGTTGCCAAGCATTTTGGCGTTCAGGTCATTGCGCCTGTGAGTTATGGTTTCAGGTGAGGCGTTTTGGAAGCTATAGGTGAGGTGTAGGCTCCACCCACTGCTCAGGTAACCCATCCCACTACTCGGGTAGCTCTACCCACTCGCATCATCAAGGGTCAAGCAGGAAGCCAGGGAGTTTTAAAACAGTGACAAAATCCCGATTTTCACTGAAGCTTCAGCAAGGGTCCACCGGGACACGGCCATTATGGCTGAAGATGCATTATTGGATCACATACAGTCATAGCGCTGTGGTGGCGAGATGTTAACTATCTCCCCTGGTATACAGGAAGTCGTGGATTTGATTCAAACCCTGACGTCTGTATATTTGTTCTCCCAGTGGTCGCATGGATTTTTATCCTCGGTCCTCAAGGTTTTCCCCTCCACATTTAGAATCACGTGTTTTGAGTATTTAGCTGCTGCTATACATTTCCACATGATAAACTCCATTAAGCGATCATTTCTGGCCAAGTCTGCTTTTTAAAAAAAGAGCTACACAGCTCAGCGGACCTTACCTGGAAAATTAAAATATAGTTTTAATATTTTTTTAGTTTTATTATGAACCTACCGGGAAAGTTTTTTTCCGGCCACACCGGGATGTTTTGTAGCTTGAGGCTCAGGGGGTCAGTTCCACAAAAAGCCTAAGCTCCCATGTAAACCAACGTTCATGAGGGGTGCGTGCGATGGAATTGACCCAAGGGGGGGAGAGCGGGGGGGCGTGCAGACCTGGGTACCAGCAGGTGGATGACGACGAGCTCGGCCCAGCATGCGTAGCGGTTCTGCACGGGGAATGTGTTCATCACGTAGGTCACTCCGCCAGGGTTGTAGTGGTTGTTGATCACCTTGAGTCCAAACAGGACACCTGGAGGGCACGGGGTGCAGCGGGGGGGCAGGTGCGAGGCACGCCGAGGTCACCCTCATTTTGTCTCTGATGTGGCGCCCTTCACGGCAGGCTCCATCGCATCTCAAAAGTTCAGAGGGAAGCCCCCCCCCCCCCCCCCCCCCCCCCCCCCCCCCTGTAACTCAACACCTGGCCTGCAAGTGGGCATCAGTCTGCCAGTGGGGGTGATGATCGCTGCTGCTATGTGTGATCCCAATTGAGTCGTATATATTTTTTGGTTTAACCCGTAGGCTTTCACGACCAATATCATCCATGAGAGGTTTTTGGGTTAGAGCGTGTAAAAAAATAAATGTGTCCTTAAAACCCGCCACCACCCGACACAATCAACTAGTAAGGGTCGTCACATAATGCACATGCTCGCATAATGCACATGAATAATGTACGTTGCCTCAGTAATCCCCCCCCCACATTGTGCAAAAGCGCAGAAGGGTGGTCAACACATCTACGCCTCTATATAAGGAACGAAACAGTAAGACTTCTCCACAAATCTGGCTGTCGCCTGAAGCTAGTTGTAATTACTGGCGAAACGTCGTACTGTTTGTAAATGTTGCGGCTTGGCTCTCCAACACACCGGTGTGCTGTACTGGTGACGAATTGGCATGTTCTGTTTACGTGACAACCCTTACTAGTTGGCTGTGTCGGATGGTGGCAGGTTTTAAATACATATTTATATATTTACGTGATCTAACCCAAAAACGTCTATTATGGATATATATTTTTTTATTAGGCAAAATTGGGCCTATGATGCCGGAACAAGATGGTCTGCTCCATTTGAGAAAATTTATGCTGGAGGTATCCGATGAGCTGTAAAGCTCTTTCTCACAGATGTCCAGCAGGCTCTCGAATCTCCAGGGCATTTCACACGAGAATTCTGGCACTCCTGCGGCACGGGGGGGGGGGGGGGGGGGGGGTAGTGCCTACCGGAGAAACCGATGGCGCACTGCTCCATGTAGGAGTAGCTGCCCGTGGCGAAGGCCAGCGCGGCGGCCAGCGCTAGTTGCACCACGCCGGTCAGCGCTGACAACACCAGCAGCAGGGTGCCGAAACGCACGCTGCCCAGCCGGCCCTCCAGCGCAACGCCCTTCCACAGCGCGGAAATCATGTTGAAGTAGAGGTGCATGTCGTCGGCGTGGTGCACGGGCGCCAGCGCCAGGCGCCGCCAATCGCAACCACCCCACACGGCCTCCACGCCCAGGCAGGTGGCGTGGGGGCCGCCCCATGGCGCCATGAACAGGAGGGCGTTGAGGCCGATGGCGCCCAGCGTCACGGGCGGAATGCGGTGGAGGCCGAAGCGGAGCATTTCGACGCCCAGCAGCAGCACGCCGATGCCTGGGGAGTGGCCGCCCCTCTGGTAGCGCCGCATGTCAACGCTGCAGAGAACCAGTTTCTACATCAATGTCTAGGACAAGTTGGACATGTATTCGTTATTACGGTATTGTTATGCTTTCGCATGTTCAACCAGGAGGGTTCTACCAAGTTTTTGCAGTAAGGGGGCGATGCTGCTGCTGCTGTGAATTTGAAATGTATTTATGCTGGATGAATCCGATGAGCTATGAAGCTCTTTTTCACAAATGTCCAGTGTGATCCCAGTCAAGTAATTCGCAGGTACATTTTCAGCCCTGGGGTTTTTTTTGGCTAGTACCAGTTCCACTGCAAGTGTTTACCTTGGGAGGAAAACAGCAGAATCCAGAGAAACTCCACGCAGAATTGGAGGGAGAGAGATCATAGAAACTCCACATTCACACGCTCGACATCATAGGCGAACAAACTGCACAGGCGTCACAAGAAATACTTCGCATAGGGTGGTGTGGTGGTGGTGGTGACACTCGTGCCTCACAAGCAAGAGACCCCTGGGTTCGAGTCCCGACTGGCGCCACTGCGTGGTGCAGTTTGTACGCTGTCTCCCCCGGTTCCGAGTGGGTTTCCTCCGGGTTCTCTGATTTCCTACTCCCATAGCTAAACCCACACACACACAGTGGAAACTGGTTTTGGCCAAGGCATTTCAATGCTGAACAAGCCCCTGAAAATTACTCAATTGGGATCACACTAAAACTAAACTACAATTTATTTTACAGGTAAGGCCCACTGAGCTATGTAGCGATTTTTCAGAAGTGACCTGGTCATCACAAATGATATCTCAAAAAGTGGTTTATCATCGTGTGGAAATGTATAGCAACCATCTACTCGAAACACGTGATGTTTATTACAAATTTTGAGGGAAAAACCGGAGGACCCGAAGCAAAATCCACGCTGCCATGGGGAGAGACACACCAACTCCAAATATACAGCAGGCGTCAGGGTCGGGATGGAACTCACAAATTCCTGTATATCAGGATACTGGCAAAAAGGTCCCATAGATATAACTCTTGACCCGAGCTGTAAGTGCTCTGATACTTGCATTTCCTTGTACTGTTCGCCTCTTGGCGTTCTCTAGTCTAACACTGGTGGTGAGATGAGGCCATAAAAAGGCTGTCTCTGGTGAGGGTCAATCCGTATCAAAGACAATGCACACATTATATTATCAGAGAGCATGTTTTGCCGCAAGTAACGTGTGGTTAATGCGGACTTGACGATGCCGTGTTGCAAAAGGTATGTATCTATTTGTCGTTTGAGCATCTGAACACAACTCCTGTTTAATTATTGACAGAAGTGGGTAAAACCTATTCTTATCTTTCCACGCGAGGTAAGTTAACTATCTCGCCGCAGGGAAACGTCGCCTCTTGTTGCGAGCGAGTCGGGCAGGACCCTCGGAGCTGACGGCTCTCCCAACGAGCTTACTCGAAACTTAATTTTGTTACTCTTAGGTTCAATAATAGAAATAAAATGATCATTTTAAAATAATTATTTTATTTCTATTATTATTTATTTTTACCTACGTACTTTACCGAAAAAACCTAAGAGTATGAATCCTTGCAGTCACGACAGCTTCAAATCTAGAATTAATTTTGTTAATTGTACTCAAGGCCGCACTGAGCTGCCACGTCGCTCTTTTTTCCGAAGCGACCCGCGCTGTTCACCAGTGACAGCTCAACCAAAGTGACTCATCATCATCGTCGTCGTCGCGTGGACATTCATAGCAGCAGCCAAGTAACACGAACGCGCCTGAGAGTTCATCATCAATGTGGACACCCGGAGACAAATCCACGCGACCACGGGGAGAGAGACGCCGACAACTCCACATACACAGCAGCAGGCGTCGGGGTCAAACCCACGACCAGGCGAAGGAGTTAACAGCACAGGGCATCGGCGCTCATCTCCTGTGCACAGCCAGCGGTGGGAAACTCCACGTTACTCGGGCGAGCAACGCAACGTCTCGCGTGCTTTAGCGATCCCACTGGCGCCGCGCAGTGACGGCACGGGCGCTAAACCTGGGGCCTATCTTACGGTCAAGCGATTGCCTCGCGGGAGAAGGCAGCAGCCCCTCGACGGCTCTCCTCACCAGCAGCGGCAGCAGCAACAGTAAACAACAACAAAAGTAAACAACAACAAAAGTAAACAACAACAAAAGTAAACAACAACAAAAGTAAACAACAGCAGCTCTCTGGGGCGTTCCTAACGGACCGCGCGTGACTTCCGATTCGCAAACGGCGAAACTTGCGTCACGTGACCAGCGAGGGGGTGGGGGCTCGCCCCGCGCCCCGCCCCCCTCCTCCACCAGAGCGTCCCGGGCACGCGATTGGTCCGCGCTGCGACGCCGGTGACTCGGCGAGCCAATCGGTGCTGCGCCTCCCCCTCGCCACCCCCCCTCGCCACCCCCCCTCCCCTTGCGCCTTGTACCACGTGACCCCCCTCGCCACCCCCCCTCCCCTTGCGCCTTGTACCACGTGACCCCCCTCGCCACCCCCCCTCCCCTTGCGCCTTGTACCACGTGACCCCCCTCGCCACCCCCCCTCGCCACCCCCCTCCCCTTGCGCCTTGTACCACGTGACCCCCCCTCGCCACCCCCCCTCCCCTTGCGCCTTGTACCACGTGACCCCCCTCGCCACCCCCCCTCCCCTTGCGCCTTGTACCACGTGACCCCCCCTCGCCACCCCCCCTCCCCTTGCGCCTTGTACCACGTGACCCCCCGCGCCACCCCCCCCTCGCCACCCCCCCTCCCCTTGCGCCTTGTACCACGTGACCCCCGCGCCGTCACCATGAGCGCGCCGAGTCAACACACGGGAATGTTTTGACCTCTCGAGAAATCCGAGGAGCTGTGAAGCTCTTTGTCGCACACGTGCCGCGGACGTTCCACGTTCTTGTGACGGCGCCAGGCGGGTAGACGAGGGGTCTCCCCTCGCGGTGCGCCCAGGGTCTCGCGAGCAAAAGCAGCAGGATGGAGCCCTCTTCGTGGCCAGATGGACGACCACAACGCCGACCAACGAGAAGGCTCGGCCATAGCAATGTGGAATCTCCAGGCCTGTGTACAGGAGATGATGCGCCAACCCGTCAGCCCCCGGTGACCTGTGCAGACCAAGGCCCATGCTTCTGGCTCTCGTCAGCGATCTGCCGCGTGTCACCGTGGCGAGGAGCTGCAGCAGCAGCAGCCGCGCCTGACTCCGCTTGGGTGGTTCGATCCGGCCGGCCGCCCCGGTTAACACTGCGGGAGGTTATACAAACCACCGTGGCTCTCAACCGGGGGGGTGAATAATATTGTATGAATCTGTCAATACTGCATAAAATAACCACGATAAAATGTAAATCCACGTAACCTAGAACGATATAAAATACCTTCCCAAGTTCACTGATCGTACACAACGCGGGTTTCAAGAGGACCCGGCGAGCAAGAACTAATGACGTCACGCGTGCAGAGCGTCCTTTGATTTTGTTTTTTTTCGCCTAAGTTGGGATAACCTCACGAAATGGACAATTGATTTCTAAAATATCGATGTCCGTTCATACATTCATTTCTCAGAACCACGTTGGGTCAGGCAAGGGGTGGTGGTGGGGGGGTACGCAGCTCGGTTGAAACCAAATTCATCAAGGAGGGTGTCAGTAGACCACCAAAGGGTGAGACGCACTGCGGGGCTGTCCGTGTGTAGCGTCGGAAATACAAAACACACTTACCTGTAGTTGCGGACACAGGCCCATAGGGGGTGCCACCCTGAGCTGGGGAAAGACAGAGGGAGCCGGACCGTTGAGGGGCCGGGTTCTCCCCCCCAGACCCCAGGTGAGGGGTTGGGGGGTTCTTCCAGAGCCCCATGGAAGGTTCCAGAAAGGGGGCGGTACCGGGGGCGGAGAGTCCCCGAGAGGTGTATAAAAGGGGCACCTCAGGGACAGTTCGGGGCAGTGCTCTGAAGACGAAGAACCGAAGACCAGCTAGGCTAGGACCCTGGGACCCCGGGACCCGACGTCCTTGTAGAGGCCGAGGCCGAGCACGGACCAGTGGTCGAGACCCGTACCTTGGCTGGGTCGGGTCAGTAGAGCATCCCCTAGGGCACAGATAGGCTGAGAGCTGAGAGCCAGGTTAACCCAGTGTGAGGGCACGCTAGCCCGGAGGCTGTACCTTCCTAGATAGTGGGAGTTAAGGGGAGTATTTTTAAAGTTGATAATAAACCTTGTTGCCTCGAAAGACAACGTCTCCAGTCCCCGTGGAACCCACGACATGTGCAACAGCGCAGCGCCGTTAGCTTCACTCTCAGTGGACGTTAAAGATCCCGTGGTGTCGGCACGCACCAGAGGGATTGTGCCCATTGCTTGCCGGCGCGAGCCACATTTTGCCAAATTCTAAAAAAGTTGACCGATGGAAAATTACTCGATTGGGATCGGGCACAGAAGCAGCAGCATCAGCGACATCGCCCTGCACTGTGAAGGGACTGCTGCTGCATCATCCTCCCGGGAGGCTGCACCGATTATCACGGTTTGGCTGCGTACGGTGCGAAATAAGTAAAAAATGTTATGGACTGATTGGCGGTATTCCACCGGTGCGGCATAACGACACAGTGGCGGTCCTCGTAAAACAGTCTCACGATGTCGCCGTTGCCCCCTTAAGCGAGCTGCAGGGACTCCATGAGAAGTTGCACGTTCACTTCAGCAGCCGCTTTCCTATTTGAACGCGTGGCGATGACACCACCACATATTTGGATGACACTGTCCGCCAATAAATAATGAATTGAGGAACCGTCCGACCAAGTCTACGGCACGAGGAGTCAAATGTTGCCTTTGGAACACGGAGGCAGCCGATCGTCATCAGGCTGGGTGCTGCTGCACGGCAACAGACAGCAAAGCTTCATGTTCAGCCGCTCATGAAGTTCCATCTTCCTACCGCTTCGACATCACGAGAACCGATTCTGATGCACTACCACCACCCACCACCCCACCCAACCACCACCATCATCCACCAACACCACCCACCACCAGACACCACCCACCAACAACACCACCCACCACCACCACCACCCACTACCAACTACCACCAACACCCACCACCAACACTCACCACCCACTACCACAAACCACCACTGCCACCCACCACCTCCACCACCACCCACCAACACCACCCACCACCAAAACCAACCAGCCATCAACACCAACCACCACCACCCACCACTACCACCAACACCACTGCCACCCTACCGACACCACCCACCACCAACCACCCACTACCACTACCCACTACCACTACCCACCACCGATCACCCACCACAACCTACCATCACCCACCACCACTACCACCGACTGCCACCCACTACCTCCACCACCCACCACCTCCACCACCCACCAACACCACCAAACACCACCCACCAACACCCACCACCGACCACCAACCACCACCCACTACCACCACCCACCACCAACACTACCCACCATCACCCAACACCACCTACCACCGACCACCACCCACCACCCAACACCCACCACCACAACCCACCACCGCCTCCACCACCAACACCCACCATCCACCACCACAACCCACCACCACCCACTACCACCAACACCACCCACTACCACGACCACCCACTACCACCATCACAACCCACCACCACCCACTACCCACCACCACCATCAACACCACCCACTACCCACCACCACAACCCACCACCAACCACCACCCACCACCACTACCACCTACTACCACCCACCACCACCCACCACTGCCACCCACCACCACCCACCACCACCCACCACCGACCACCACCCACCACCAACACAACCCACACCACCCACCACCAACACCACCCACCATCAACACCACCCACTACCCACCACCACAACTCACCACCACCCACCACCACTACCACCCTACTACTACCCACCACCACCCACCACTGCCACCCACGACCACCCACCACCGACCACCACCCACCACCACCCAACACCCACCACCACAACCCACCACCACCACCACCAACACCCACCATCCACCACCACAACCCACCACCACCCACTACCACCAACACCACCCACCACCCACTACCACCATCACCCACTACCACCACCACAACCCACCACTACCCACAACCCACCACCAAGCATCCACCACCAACCACCACACACCACCACTAGCACCCACCACCACTACCCCACACCACCATCTACCACTGCCACCACCCACCAACCCACCACCCAGCACCACCACCCTCCCCCCCCCTGCAAGATTTTCTGACCGGAGTTGCGAATTGCGCGAAAATAAATAATAGTTGCAAAATATTACTCTTTGGTTACTCTTTGGTTCTTTCGGTAAAGTCATGTAGGTAGAAAAATAAATATTAAATCACGACGTTTCAATCACAACACAAGCAATCATTAGGTAGAAAGATACAGCAGTAGAACTGCTGAACAAGACAGGGCTGTTGCAACAAGAGGTCATATATAGGTTTGAGGTGGGTGTCACCCAAGGGCAAGTAGGAGGGATCAGAGATGGAAATACGCCCCGTCGTCACACGCACGTACAGCAGCTGCGTAAATGGGTAGATATTGGCATGTCAATGTAGACGAGTTTAATGGGAAGATTGTATGTCTGTGCCAGAGGACCGGGCATAGCGCCACCTCGTGGACAACACAAGCTGCGGCATTAGCTGCTGCACAGTGAGAGGCCAGCATATCAACGCAAGAGAACTACCGTAACGTGGCCGTGCCAGTGAGACATACAGCCTATTGAACAGCGAAAGCTACCGTTACATCGAGGCAAAAGGGAACAGCAGTGACCATGTTAGACCTTCGTCTGTTAATGTAAAGACATTTAACAAGGTCATGTAATTCAGAGAGTCGTAAATAACTGCTAAACAACGGCAGGAAGGATGTAAACATCACAGCAAGTTATGACTTACCTGGTTAATAACATCTTTCCAATGATTGCTCAGTTTATACCCATCTTCTCGGTTGAAATTGTGTCTGTGTTTTCTATCTGGATGGCTTCATGGACAAATCTTTGATGGTAGCCCAAAGGTTTGCCGAGTACCTTGGTCTCGGAAAAAAACAATATCGTGTGAACCGACCGCGTTAAAACAGTGATCAGCCACGGCAGAGGTATTGGTTCTGCCGTGTTTCAAATCTGCCTTGTGTTCGAGAACACGGTCCGAGACATGTCGTTTCGTTTCCCCGATGTAACTGCTACCGCAGATAAAACTTAAACAAGATTCGAAGACATGCTATCTTCTCATTAAACTCGTCTACATTG